CCTTTTAGAGATTCCCCCTTTTAGAGATTCCCCCTTTTAGAGATTCCCCCTTTTAGAGATTCCCCGTTCCTCGATTCCCCGTTCCTCGATTCCCCGTTCCTCGTTTTAGAGATAGCCTAATAAAAACTAACTAACTAACTAACAACCTAGTAAACTAATTAACTGACTAACCAATAATAAACCATCTAGTAAAAAGCTTTCCTAAAAAGATGTGTTTTAAGATTGCGCTTGAATTGCAACAAATTGTCGCTTGAACGGATTTCCAGCAGCAGTGCGTTCCAGAGTTTAGCCAGTTTAAGGATGGCCATTATTTGATCTTGACTTGCATCTGGGCACATATTTTGTTATAAGATGGCAGAGATATGGTGGCGCTAAGCCGTTCAAGGGTTTAAATGTCAGTAAAAGAATCTTAAAAATTATGCGCTCTTCAATAAGTAACCAGAGTACTGGTGTTATATGATCACATTCACGCGTACGCGCAACACCCTGGCTGCAGCATTTAGAACGTGCTGTAGTTTCTTTAGTGATTCCTTTGGTAGACCATACAATAGTGAGTTACCAGTGGCGGATCTTTTAATTTTGGGTAAAAAAAGAAGAAATCACAGAAGGAAGAAAACCCGGCGGGGCAAGCAAAACAAAACAGGCCCTCTCCCACCCCCACCCCCCCTCCTTAGCTCCGGGTCTGGATCCGCCACTGGTTACAATAGTCTAATCTGGAGGATACAAACGCCTGTACAAGCACTTCAGCCCTAATGCGACTGATATTCCGAAGATGATGCTAGAACTGATCTAGTACCATTATTTGTTTACTTCTTTGGAGTGAGGTATGAATTACTAAGTGTGGTTACTGAGGCAATCATTACCTCAGGTGAAGTGCCTGCGCACAAAAACTTAAGGACATGAAAAATGTTCATTTAATTCCAACTTTGCCCCACTTTTTCAAAGACTGAAATACTCTTTTATTACAATAGGTGACTGACGTCAACTATGTTTACTGTATTATTAACAACATTACCTAAACATGAGTCACTATCTTCGTTAAAAAGATAACAGCACTCTGATACGGTGTAGTTCAAACCCAGTTCTACAAAGTATAACAGTTCTAACAAATATCACTGCCCACAATGTTACCTGCTAGACCTAGCTTACATT